TGCTGCGGGTGGTGCTGGGCGTGAATGGCACCTACAGCTGCCTGGTGCGCAACCGGGTGCTGCGGCAGGACGCGCACGGCTCGGTCACCGTCACGGGTGAGGGGCCGGTGGTCAGCCGGGGAAGGGTGGAGAGAGCGGCCTTTTTTCTGGACTTCATATGGGAGTTTCAACATATGGGGCAGGAGAATATTTAAGTCAGTCGCATAGCGATTTCAGGCGTCTCAAAGTCTCTCTACATGAAATCCTGAAGCGTTTGCTGTAATGAGCTGATTAGAATCGTTTATAGATATTCGCTGTCCTAAGCCTGCTTAGCTTAAGCTTCGTATGTAGGGGACAAAGCACCCGCCTGGAATCTGGAGGTCTGGGAGGGGATTCTGGGCCAGCCACGGGCAGCCCAGGGACTCGGCGAGGGAACTTCTAGGGGTGGTGTGAAGGACTTGCAGAGGCCGGGGCACCATCCGATTCTGAAGCCCTGAACGAGCCGGGCCTTTGCAGGTGGTCAGTGCCTTCCTAGGTCAGAGTCAGCTGTCCCTGCAGCTCCACCAGGCGGCAGGTGGGTTGGCCAGGGCTGTCTCTGCTGCCCCCGTGTGGCCAAACATTATATGGAGGCCGCCCATGGGGTGATTCCCTTAATCTGATATCCGGGTCCTTGTGAGCCCGTGAGGGGTCTCCATCCATCCCTTTTCTAGGCGCTGTGCGCAGTCTAGCTCCTCGGTCCATTCTTGGGGCCACTGGAGCTTCCCAGGGTCCTCTCACATTGCTCAGCTCAGGACAGTGGTGTCTGTCTGTCTGCTCCTTCTCTTTTCTCTTTCTGTGACTTCTGTCCAGTCCCAGCTTCTGACCCCAGTGCCGTGCAAACCTCAGGGCTCAGTGACTTCTTCCCATCCTACCTGTCCCTGGGCTCTCGGGTGCTCTGAGCGGTCTCCTGGGGGGGCCTGTCTCCCTTTTAGAGTACAGCATAGGACCTGGAAGGGAGGGCAGAGTGTTCACAGGAAAGAAGCAAGAAATGTAGGTTAGAGCGAGACTAGCAGAGGACGTGATGCTCTCACCGGGAAGGACAGAAGGATCTGTGATCCTTTGCACACTGGGCAGAATTAGGTGTGTGCAGTGCCCTGCAGAGAGGGCTGATGAGTATAAATGTGACTGCAGGAAGGATGCTCACCCCACCTCATTCTTTATTTAATGCTGCAGGAGCTACTATGTAAAGGGGTCTCGTGTAGACCAGTGTGGACAAGCGTGTTTCACAGATAGGGAAACAGAGGGGGCACAGACGGCGCAGAGAATCAGAGTCTTTTTGGGGGCCAGCACCTCTCTGAAGATTGGACACATGAACTGGTCTGCGTACAACTTGGAGGGCTCCTGGCTTCTCTAAACCCACCGCCAAGGGCTGAAAATCTCCACACCTGTGCCCCGCAGTAGACAGATGAACCAGGATCAGGATCTGGCTGGGGCCTCTCAGCCTAATTGTCCCCCCACCCCCTCCGCCAGCCTCCTGGTTTTGATACAGCAGGTCTGGCCTACTTTGGAGCCCTTGGCCTGTATTTTGCTCCGGGTAGCTTTGCGCCTGGTAAAACATTCTGGGATTGAGACTTTGAGTGCTCCAGCTGGCCTCTCCTCGGAGAAGAGCCTGAAGATGTGTGGCCCAGCCTTGGCTGGCTCTGCCCTTTGCTGGGTGAAGGGGGGCGAGTTCAATCAGTGTTCCAGGCACTACTAGCAGCTGCGGGGCAAACACAGAAAGAGACCCTGCTCTTGGGTCTGTCTGCAGCTCTGCCCCCTCCTCTGCTGCCAGAGCCCTGTCCTGGAATTTCCAATAGATTTCACTCCCCCTCCTTCCATCTTCTCTTTCCCACTTCCTCTGTCTTCTTCTGACATAGTCTCGCTATGCAGTTCAAGCTGGCCTTGAACTAACTGTGTAGCCCAAGCTGACCTTGAACTTGCAGCAATCCTCCTGCCTCAGCCTCCTGAGTATTACTGGGATCACAAGCATGTGCTATCATGCTAGACTTCCAGGGGATTTTTATGTGTGCTTCTTGGACTGGCCTAAGGCCTGAGGCCAGCTCCTGCTCACCTAGATGGCAGTTCCCTTGGCTTCCACTGTCCAGAGCCTGTTGAAGGAAGGTCTGCTGCCAGCACCCAGCAGGTGCTCTGTGCCAGGGCCTCTGATGCTGCAGCGTTAATGGACTTCTGCAGAGCCTGCCAGCCCCATGGTGCAGATGCTGTGGCCACTCCTTGTCCCCAGACAGCAAAGGGAAGCAGCACTCTTTGTTAGATTGTTTTCCCCTTGAGCCTCTGCCCAGGACCCTGCTGGAGGGATGGAGCCATCGAGCAGCTGCAGGCCCTGACTCAGCCATGCTCCTCAGTGCCTCTCCATTGGAGGCCCTCAGGGTCCCTTGATGAGTCTGCCAGGCAGGGCTTCCCCAGGCCCCCTGGAATTCTTAGGGGATTCAGGACCCACACACCTGGGCCTTCATCTGTATGCAGAGCTCAGCACACACTTCTGGGGAGGCCCAGGTAGATGCTCTGTGGCAGTGCAGCAGCTCTGTTGTCATTGTCACTAATCCTTCTGTGCTTCTTGCTCCTCCTTTCTCACTCTGGTTTTTGTTTTTTTTTTTTTTTTTGAGACAGGGTCTCACTTTGTAGTGCACGCTGGCCTTGGACTCACTGTGTAGCGTAGCCCCAGCTGGCTTGAACTCTCCGTGATGCTCCTGACTCAGCCTCCCAAGTGTTGTAATTACAGGCATATGCCATTATGCCCAGCTTTTTCTTCTTTTCTTTCCCATCCTTTCTTTTTCTTCCTTCCTTCTGCCCTTCTGTCTTTCCTTTCCTTTCTTTCCTTCTCTTCCTGTAACCCTTTAGAAAGTAACAACTAATACTAGCTCCTGGGTTGTATACTACAGGCCACCACGCATGTTTGGCCACCGGCTATAGTTTCCTGTTGGCCACAGGCCATAGTTTCCTGGCTCCTGAGCTGCAGGATGGAGATTTTCTCTGGCGGGGCTGGCGCTGGCGTAGTTGGGGAGGACCTCCCGATGGTAGTGACAGATCTTAAGCCGGAAGGAGTCTGAAGTGTCATCGAGGTAGGGGACACAGACAGCGCTGTGCAGAGGCTGGAAGGAGCCAGGTGTTTCTGCGGAGCAGGGCTCAGATGCCAGTTTGGCTGGAGTTCGAGTTTCCAGGGTGAAATTAGAAGGAAAAGCTGGGAGGGGTGAGGGAAGCAGCAGCCAGGTCGAAGAACTCCTTGGATTGTCCTGAGAAGGCTGCAGCGTGTGTGGGAATTCAGTGGGGGTCCATAGAAGGTTGTGGAGCATTGTTCACCCCCAGACTCCTCAGGCCCCGCCAGCCAGAGCAGCGAGTGGAGCCTCACTCACAGTGTGTCCCCACCCTGGAGATGGAGAGGTGTGTGACATCTCCTTCCCTCCCAGGGCAGCCCGTGACATTTCCTCCGGAGGCTCTGTGGGTGACCGTGGGGCTCTCTGTCTGTCTCCTGGTACTGCTGGTGGCCCTGGCCTTCGTGTGCTGGAGGAAGATCAAGCAGAGCTGTGAGGAGGAGAACTCGGGTGAGTGGGGGGTGTCCCTGCCTGTGTGTGTGCATGTACGTGCCTTGGAGTGTGTTGCTGTCATGGACCCAGACTGGGAAAAGTAAAGATTCAAAATGTCCCAGAGGGTGCTGGGGATTTAGCTCAGCAGCACAGCGCCTGCCTGGCAAGCACGAGGTCATGAGTTCGATTCCAAGTACCGGAAAAAAACCACACACACACACACCAAAAAAAATGTCTCAGAGGCCAGAAGTCCAATACCAAGGTGCTGGCTTCTGGTGTGGCCTTGCTGTGGCAGGAGGTGACCCAGTGAGAAGGGTGGCACCAATCCCATTAGTGAGGGTGAAGCCTTCGTGGCCTGATCACCTCTCCAAGGCGGCACCTTGTGGGGGCGGGGATGTAGCTCAGTGGTAGGGTGCTCTCCTAGCGTGCCCGAGGCCCCCAGTTTGATCTCCAGTACTGGCAAAAAATGTAATCGTAACAACAATCAATAAATCATACCTTTTACTACTGTTCATGGCAATTACCCTGCAGCGTGAGTTTTGGAGGGAACAGACAGTCAAGCCACGGCAGTTGCTGTGCCCGTGGCATCAGCATGGGTGTCTAGTGACAGGATGAGTGTGGCCGGAACGGGGTGGTGGGTTAAGGCCGACTGTTCCAAGGGGATGGGTGTGTCTGTGCAATTCAGTGTGACCCTGAGTGTGGGAGCCACGTGTGTTTCACTGGGAGGACCAGGCTGGGGGAGTGTGGGTAGTGGCTGTTGCTAGGGGAGTGTTCAGCTGCAGGCCAGGAGTCCTGGGTTGTCCAGGGCTCTGCGGTGCTCTGGTCTCAGGTGCCCACCCGGTGTCCAGCGCCTGGACCACAGGGGGTGCCTGGGTGGGGAAGCCCAGGGCTGGCGGTGGGGCTGGGAGAGGTCTGCGTTCACTCTGCCCTTTCCTATTCCAGGGGCTGAGGACCAGGATGGGGACGGTGAAGGCTCCAAGACCGGTGAGTCTGGGCTCAGAGGTGGCCCTCTTGGGTGGGGGCACGGGAAAGGAGAGAAGACTTCAGCAGCTGGAGGAGCCAGATGTGCTTTGGGGTTTGAGTTCAGAGTCGCCCCAGGACTCGGGGCACAGAGGAAGGCCTGGGAAGCCTCCCCATCCTGGCTCCCAAGTGGCTTTCTTTCTCTCACCTTCCTGCACCCGGCCACCAGCGCTGTGGCCGCCAAACAAGCCTGTGTATTCTGGGAGCTTCCTTGGGGTGGCAGCAGGATCTCAGGGGACAGGGCAGCCCGCAAGCCACTGTGCTTCTCCGGCCTTTTTCCCCACGTGTAAAGTGGGGATAACAACAGGCCGGCTGGTTTCCTGGGCTCCGTTAAATGAGATAATGTGTGTGAAAGACCTAGTAGCATGCCTGGTGCCTAATCAGTGCTCGATCCAGCCTTGGGACTGGTAAGCACACAGCTCACGCCCATCCTGCTCTTGTTGGGCTTTGGTCCTCTGGGCCTCAGTTTCCATCTCTGAAATGTCATCTTGCCCCTAACCCTGATGGCACTCCAGCGGCTGCAGGGGCAGGGCCTGGCGCTGTAGACCTGGTGCCTGCACCACCTGGCCTTACTTCCGGTTGCCCCTGGGCTGGGAGCGGCAGCTTCTCGCTGAGCCTTTTGGGCTGGTTCCCGTTGACACGAGTTTCCTCCCCACCCCTGCAGAGGGATGCAGGAGATTGGCACGTGCGGACTGCTGCAATCAATTATGCCAATTAATTCTCTGTCTGTTGGTGCCCGGCACTGGCAGGCACGGAGACAGCCCTGGGATCAGACCTTGTTTTCCCTGCTGGGGGCGGATGTAGTTGGCAGAAGGGAGGGAGGGGTGAGGAGGGGTAGTTCTGGAGTTGGTCAGCCTGGGACCCTGGGCCATCTGCCAACATGCCAGCATCCGTTCGGGCCTCCCTGCACCCTGGTTTGGGGAGCGGGCTCAGCGCACCCCCACATCTCTGGAATGCAGGGTGGCTGTGCTGTCTATGGATGCCAGAAACAGGCCTGGGGAGAGGAGTGGCAGGCCTGCGAGTGCAGCAGGGACTTGTGACTGAGGCTCAGGACAGCACCCTCAGCCCCTTCCCTTCCGCCTCCCCCTCCTGCCCCGCCCCCCGCCCTCCGCGCCCTTGCTGTTCCCACCACCCCTCGCTTTGGGTGCTCCCCTCATTGTGTGCTCCTTCTTCTGTTGCAGCCCTGCGGCCTCTGAAACACTCGGAAAGCAAAGAAGGTAAAGACCTGTGTGACCCCAGATGGAGGGAGACTCGGGAAGGGGTGGCGGTGAGTTGCAAACAGAGAGGCCGGCAGGAAGGAGGTGGCGGTGTGAGGGGCCTGAGGGATGGAAGTGACAGGAGGATGGAGTCCCTCGGGCGCCTTGCTGGTCCCCTCATGCCCAGCTCCTGGGCTCTTGCCTGGGCCTCCAGAGCAGCGGCTGGTACAGGGCTGTTTGTCAGACTTCTCCGGCCATTGTCACTCACATCCCTACCTGACTACCTGGGAAGGTACTGGGGCTTCTGGCGTCACCTCAAGAGTAGAACAAACAGCACTTATTTGTTGTCCTTTTCCCCCTTCCCATCAGGAGAAGCGGACGATGGACATGAAATCGCCTGACCAGGAGCTGTGGCCCCTGCCCGGGGGCCCCACCCTCTGGCTGCAGTGGGGCCTCAGAGTGAGCCCTGCCCCCACCCACGGGTCCAGCTCCGCTCGCCTCCAGAGGATGCGGTACACAGACCACCCTGTGGCCTTACTTCTCTTAGGGACACGATGCCCAGTCATCCTGCTGCCTTATTTCTAACAGACACAGTACATAGACCACACCACCGCCTGGTTCCTCCAAGCCACACAGAACGCCTGGCTGCCTTTTTTCTCCAAAGGACACAGCCTTCAGACGCACCCTGCCTTATTTCTGCAAGACACACTGCACGGTCCCCTCCTGCGTTGTCTTCCCGGTGGCCCCGCGCACCAGTTCCCTTCTCTCAGCCCTTTCCTGACCTGCGTGGGAGCCAACTCCTCGGCAGCTCTGAGTCTGGAGGCTGCCTCCTCCGTTCCTGCCCTGTGGTTGGCCTTCCCACTGTGCCCAGGGACACTGGGCACCCTCCCTGCCGACTGCGCGTGCCGGGCCACGCGCCCCTCATCTCCTCCATGCCAGCTGCACCCACGGGAAGCATGTGCCGGTCACACTCGTTCTCTGGGGGTCCGCAGAGGACATTTTGGAGGGCAGCTTTTCACCCCCACACCATCCCTCCACGTTACCCAGAGCCTGGGGTGGGGCAGAAACCTGGAGCACCTCGGCCACACTGGAGAATCAGGAGGCTTCCAAAGGTCTCTCCAGGGTGAGCTGGTGAGCAGGTAGCCAGGACCCTCCAAACCTGTCCTTGCTGGCTGGAGCCCAGGGCAGGCTTTGGGGACAAAAGGGGACTGTCTCCCACCATGGTGCTACTGGGGCCTGGGCAGACACCTCCTGGCTTGTCCGTGGCCAGCCCCCAGCCTCGGGAGAGTGGAGCTTCTGAGTCCTGTGTCTTTTGGCTTCTCTGGCACCCCAGGAACGAATATGCGAAGATTTCTAATTTAAATGTGGGACTCTGTATATTGGGGGTGGATCTGGGGAAAATAAATGCTTTTGTTAAAAGCTTCTCTGCAAAGTGTTCAGAAGCAGTGGGGGGCTGGGGCCTGGGATGCCTGGATCCCCATGGCTCTCTTAGTTTCCTGGCCTCAGTTTCCCTCTAGGAAAAAGGTCTGGCCAGATGGCCAGGGTCTTTGGGCACTGGGGGCAGGGGTTGTCTCACTTGTGGAAATGTCACCTGAGTTCTTTGACTCAGAAGACTCAAACCCTAGGCTTGTTCAGAGCCTCTGCTGATGTCCCTGTTTGACCATAGGGACACCATGGCCCAGGACGACATTGACACCAGGAAAGCAGTTCTGCACACTAGTCTTGGCTTACCCATGCATGGAAAGGATGCCAGGCCAGGAGTCAGGCCTTGGCCAGGACCTAGCTTTGCTCTGTGACTGTGAGCAGGAGACTGACCTTCTTGGACCTCAGTTTTCCTGTATGAAACATGGGACTAAGGTATTGATGCTACCCGCTTGGAAAGTCAGAGAAGGGGTGAGCGGGGCTGGCATGCAGGAATCCAGAGACCAGGATGGGGGCTGTGAGGGTTCATGGTGCACGACAGTCCTTTCCTCTTGGTCTTCGTGCTCTGCCGCTGACTTGTGACCACATCCCTGGTACTCTGAATCTTAATTTCTTTATCAAACGGGTGATGCACATTCTCTTGGAAAGTGTGTGTTATTGTTTAAAAATTTTTTTATTTGAGACGTAGTTTTGTTAAGTCACTAAAATTGCCCAGACTGGGCTTGAACTTGTGCTCCTCTTGCCTCAACCTCCCGGAGTGCTGGGATTGCAGGTGTGCACCACCATGCCTGGTTGCATGTGGATTATTTCTGAAGTTGGTGGCTCTGGGAACCACCTTGCTTGAGGTTCCATCTGTCATGCTCTAGGTGGGTCTTAGAATCCAAAGACTTGTGCAGGAGTCCAGCCTTTGCCCCTGTATGTACCCTGATGTCTGTGAGCATGTTCTTTTTCCCTTGCTGGGCCTCAGCCCCAACGGGGAAGGGCTAGTTCTGTCCCTCCCAGCAGTCAGGACCACACTGTGGCTGTCTAGGTGGCTTTAGATTGGACGTAGTGGCTCCCAGCCTGCTATGGGAACCTACCTGACACGCAGTGGCCAATGCTTTGTCTCTATCGGGGTTGGGGTTGGGCTGTGACAGGATGTGGTGTGATGAGCTTCAGGAGGGACCCAGCAGGTGTGGCACTTGCCTGGGAGCTGTAGGGTGAGGAATGTGGCCATCAGGGCCCTGGGTGACAAATGCCCTCGAGAGCAGTATTTTTAGCTGCCTTTCCTGGGCGAAGCTCCAACTCCTACATCTTAATGGAGAAATAATTCTCACAGTGCGACAAGCTGTAGGCTGCAGGTGTCACATTCCTATTAAAGTGAGGACAGCGAGGGTTCATTTGCCTGGCCAAAGGTGTGACCGGATTTGGCCTCCAAGACCATTTGTAACCAGGCCTGTGAAGACCAGGGAGTGAAGCTGACCACCCAGCGCTCAGGGGGCGGGGAGGGGGGAGTGGGGAGAGTGTTGGCAGCAGCCTGGAGTCACCCTGCCGCTTCTGCTGGCTTGGCACAGGGAGTTGTGGCCACATGCACAGCCGCGGATGATGCCTTCAGTGGGGTCTGTCTGGGGAGTGGTGCCGCCCTTCTCTTCCTGAGTGGGATGTTGGCGCAGGTGGGCTGCTGGGCAGAGACCCCCTGCTGGAGATGTCTACAGGTCCACTTGCAAAGCTCAAGTCTCAAACTGAAACCTGAAGCCACGGTTTACCCAAGTAGTTAAAATATTTAATCTTCAAATGTAAGGGCCCCCGAGAAGCAAAAGCGGGCAGTGTCACTGAGGGCTTGGTGTCCTTCCAGATTTCCTTCAGGCTTATACACTTATGGAAATGGTATCATACATATTATTCTGTAACTGTTTTTGCTTGTCTTTATTATTTTCCCAAGTCAGTTCTAGAGTGTCATCATCCTCTTTTTAAACTGATGCGTAACAATCTAATTTTTAACAATGTTAATCCTTATTGTATGGCTCCATGAATTTTTACACAAGCATTTATGTAACCACTAGCCAAATCAAGATACAGAACAACTTTGTAGCCAAGGGGTGCTGTCACATGCTTATAATACCAACTACAAATGAGGCTGGAGTATCCTAAGTCCCAGGCCAGCCTGGGTGACTTAGTGAGACCCTGTCTCAAAGTTAAAAGGGCATGCTGGGCTTGGTGGCGCATGCCTGTAATCCCAGCGCTGGGGAGGCTGAGTCAGGAGGATTGCTGAGAGTTTGAGATCAGCCTGGGCTACAAAGTGAGCTCAAGGCCAGCCTGAACTGCATAGCGAGACCCTGTCGCAAAAAA